TTTTTTTTTTTTTTTTTGGTACCAGGGATCAAACTCAGGTCCTTGCACTTGCGCAGCAGGCAGCAAAACCACTGAGCTAAATCCCTAGCCCTGAGTGGTCACCTTTTAAAAACAATGTTACTTCAAGTACCCAGGCTGTAGAGATTTGTTCATGCAAAATAAACAAATACACAGTGCTATTTAAATGGTTCCTAGCCAAAGAAGGACTTCACAGGAGTGGGATATTTTCAGAGTATCTTTATTTTCTTATGTGAAATCATCCTAATTTGACTTTTATTGTTTATTTCAGACGGCAGGTTTTTTTCACAAGAGATAACTTTGAGTATAGTCTCCTTCCACTCACCATCCCGACATCAATAATGGTAATGATTTCAGGAAACAGTTGGAAGGCTGCTCAAAATAAGTGATGGGGAAGATGTAGCTGGGAAATAGCAAACTAGTCTGTTTTTTTTAGTTTAAGATTATTTTACAAAGTAAAAGACATTAAGAAGCAAGTTCTTTTTTGATTGTTTTTTATTAGTAACATAATAATTACATTCATCTTGGCTAATTGGTACATATATGGCATAATTTTTACTTTCCCTTTCCCTCCTTGCCCTCCATCCCCTCATCCCTTCCCCACGTCGACAAAATCTAACTCCCTGTTTCCTATCATCTTTCTTTTATTTTGTTCTTTAGATTATTTTTATGTTGGGTTTCTTAGAGAAACCATGGGATACTTAATCATCTGTGTCTGATTTAGTTCACTTAGCATTATGGTCTCAAGGTGCATCTATTTTCCTACAAATGACTCAACTATATCCTTATTTATGGCTGAGTAGTACTCCATTGTATATAAACACCACATTTTATTTATCTGTTCATCTATGGGCCTATAACTGCTTCCAAGATTTAGCTGTAAGAGGTAATTTCTAAGCCAAAAGAAAGGTTGATTTTATTCTATCCCTACTAAAAATGAGCTCTTCTGTTGAGAAAAAAGGACCAGAATGGCTGCTGAATGCTCTTTCTTACTTGGGTTGTACAGTACGTTGATAAATCAGATGCTGTCTGACTTTACCTGCAGTAATTTCAAACCCTTTCTAAAATGTCTTGAGCAGAGAGAGAATGCACCCTTTTGATTACTGTCTTGCAAAGTTTCCCCACTGGAAGCTAAGGAAAGTTCTGGCCTGTATTCACATGCTGTAAATATGCTCTGAAGAGCACTGTTCCTCACTCACGCTGTGCGTCCATCATCTGGACTCTGAGGCTGAGGCTGTAGGCTCAGAGAAGTGGGAGAGAAACCCCGGGTATCTGAGCACACCAAGAACCAGCTTGAGCTTCTTGACTTTGCTCCCAGCCAGACCTGGGCTATGCAGTTGTTTGAGAGAACCAGCCCACTCTGTTGGCATGACCTTTCTGGATGCACGTTCCGAGGCTTGCTGTCTGAATCCATGCCGAGGATGACACAGTGACAGTTGCCAAACATCTTCCTGTTTCTAGGTTGGCCGGCCAGAAGTGACCTCCGCACATTTTGCTGGCTCACACCTGCTGTTAGTAGTGAATCAGAGAGTCTACATGTACAATTACAAAGCTGGCCTCTGGAACACATCCGAGGGTATGTACATGGTGAGATTCAAAATTATAGTGACTGGGCTGGGGATTTAGCTCAGTGGTTCTGCCGCCTGCCTTGCAAGTGCAAGGTCCTGAGTTCAATTCCTGGCACCAACCCCCCCCCCAAATTACACTGATTATTTAAATTTTGAAAATTTATTATAGCCGGGAGTGGTAGTGCACATCTGTAATCCCAGGACCCAGGAGGCTGAGGCAGGAGAATCACTGTGAGTTTGAGGCCAGCCTGGGATACATAGCAAGACCATGTTCAAAAAGAAAAACAGGGCTGGGGATTTAGTTCAGTGGTTCCACCACCGCCTGCCTTGCAAGCACAAGATCCAGAGTTCGATCCCAGGTACCAAAACAAACAAACACAAAACCAAGAAAAAAAAAAATCCTCCCTACTCACTTTGAAAATACTCATCCCATCATCCTTGCCACTTTCTGCAGCAGCTCTGGAATCTTTCTTCAATGTCTTTAGTTGCCTATCCTGGCTGCCTCAATGTCCTGACTGGATTCAAAATGTTTACCTTTCATGGTTGTTTTACCTTTGGGGAAGAGCCAGAAATCACATGGTGCCAGATCTGGTGAATAAGGTGGGCTGCCTTTCCATGGATGGCTCTTAGCACCAGTATCTACCTTATCTTTTCAATCAAGTCTCATAAAGACACTGATGAAAGAGCACTTCCAGAACTGCTGCAGAAAGTGGCGAGAATAATGGGAAAGTGTGTTCAAGGTAAGGGGAGGATTTAGAGGGGGATTCGTGGCAATGTATCTTTTACTGTAATAAAATTTTAGGGCCGGGGTTTTAGCTCAGTGGTTCCACTGCCTGCCCTGCAAGCACAAGGACCCGAGCTCGATCCCCAGTACCAAAAAAAAAATGTGTATAAAATTTTAAAATTTAAACATTCACTGTATATTTTGATCAACTTTTGTGTATTTTGTGTTTTTTGGTTTCAGTTTAGCCAATATCCAAGAAGAAGTTATTGATTTTGGAAGTATAATTGATACTCTCTACTTAGGTTTCAGGCCCTGGATATCGCTTTGCCGTTTAAAATCCAAATTAAAATTGCCCCAAAACCCATTGAATAGGGCAGACATCCAGGGGTTTTGTCTGGGATTGTAACTATGAGACACAAAAGCCTGCTTGGAGCCAGGTGTGATACCACACACATGTAATCCCAGCACTTGGGAGACTGAGGCAGGAGTATCCCAAGTTCCAGCCCAGCCTGGATGAGTTAAGGACTGAGTGAGACCCTGTCTCTAAAGAATAAAAAAGCTTGGGAATGTAGCTCAGCACAAAGGCCCTAGGTGCAATCCCCAGTACCATAAAAAGAGAGAGAGAGAGAGGGAAAGAAAGGAAGGGAGGGAAGGAGGGAGGAGGAAAATAGAGAGAGGGTCTTCTTTTCCCTAGAACAGGGAGGCTGGGAGGCACAGTAGTGCCCCTCACCACGGGGACGCTGTCAGTGCAGCGTCCCCATTAAACATCTCTGTGCCCTGTCCCCAGCCCCCCAAACTACCACCCTTCTTCCTGTCTCAGTGGATCTGATGACTCTGGACACCTCCTGGAAGTGGGACCCCTCAGTGTGTTCTGTGTCTGGATTATTTCACTGAATAGGATGCCCTCGAGGTCCATCCGTGTTGCAGCAGGTGTCAGAATTCCCTCCTTTCTCACGGCTGCTCACATTCATCTGGATGGACCACCTCGCATTAATCCATTCATCCATTCATGGACGCGTGGGCATTTCGCTGTTTGGCCTTTGTGACCAGTGCTGCTGTGGACACGGGTGCTCACAAATCTCCTTGAGCCCCTGTTGTGGTATAAACCCACCTGTGGAATTGCCATGTCACATGGGAATTCTGTGTTTAATTTTTTTTAGGAATGGCTGTACTGACCACCAGAGTGGCCACAAAATATCCCACTCCACTGTAGGGGGACACACATTGGGTCCAATATCCCCAGTCCTCTCCAGCACCTTTGTATTTTTTATTTTGAGATAGAGTCTCACTAAGTCACTAAGTTGCTCTGGCTGGGCTTAAACTTGAGATTCTCCTGCCTCAGCCTCCCAAGTGCTGCGGCTACAGGTGTGTATCATCATGCCCAGTTTATGTATTTTAAAAATTATCTTTTCCTTTCAGGTATACAACACCCTGTTTCACATGTTTCTGGTGATAATTGTTGTTTTGTTGGAAATACCTTTTGCCTGGTAAGTGTGGTCCAGAACCTTTCACTTTTCACTTGACTCTGAGTACAAGGCAGGGTAGATGGACCAAAGGACCTGCAAGCTGGCACCATTGTGGCCTGTGCAGTGTCATTGCCCCAGGGCTCAGAAGAGGGCCTGAGAGATGGAAGAAGCTCAGAGGTACTTCCAGATCATCTGCTTGACACAACTGTGAATCTGTCTCCCCCACTTCCTCCTCCTACCCGGTCTGGCACTGGGAACTGAACACAGGGCCTTTGTACTGAGCTATATTCCCAGCCCTCTTGATTTTCATTTTGAGACAAGGTCTCAATAAGTTGCCCAGGCTGGGCTAGAACTTTCAATCCTCCTGCTACAGCCTGCTGAGTAGCTGGGAATATAGATGTGTGTCACCAACCCAAGCTTGGTTCCACTTTTTGCCTATTATGGACAAAGATCTACCAAGTGCCTGAGGGTTTTGTAAAACTGCAGTGCACAGAGTGTGTTCTGACCAGGCATTCAATATACATGCATGTATTGGCCAAGCCTCTGCTCAGGTAGGAAACAGGGCAGGTCAGAACTCTTGATGTACAGGGATGTAGCACAGTGGTAGAGCATGTGCTTGCCATGTGCAAGGACCTAGATTCAATCTCTAGCATCAAAAAAACAAAAACAAAAACAAAACCCTCCTGAATAGGTGTTGCCAGCTGACATGGTATCTGGTAGTTCTAGGCTCTTACTGTCCTGCCCAAAGAATTGGCCAGGACATTGATGAACACAAAAACGTAATGTTGCTTTGAAGTAACAGAAGAAAAAGGGAGACATGAAAAAAAAGATGTGTCAAATAGAAAAGTGAAGATAAATCCTGCACACAGGATGGGCCACTGCAAGAACAGGAAGATGACAGTGAACTTGGACTTACAATCACTGTCTTTTATATCTTTGCTGATCCAGTCCATTGGAAATTATTCTGCACATGAATCCTGGCAGTGATTTGACAGTTTCACATGATTGACAGGTCATGGCCAGGTTGCCCAGACACTGTTTCAGTTTTTTTTTTTTTCTTTTTTGGTACTGGGGATCAAACTCAGGACCTTGCACTTTTGAGGCAGGTGCGGTGCCACTGAGCTAAATCCCCGGGCCCTGTTTCAGTTTTTTTGTAATTAACAGGTTACATCCTATTGTCCATCCAGCCTCCCAAAAAACAATTTGAGCCAAAATATTTTAAAAACTGTTGCTGAGTTCATATAAATTTTACCATTGTTTTATCTGATGACCCGTAACAGTGGTTAGCTACCAGTGTATCTGGAAACTGTCAGAAGGGGTCAGCAATTGGAGCCTCTTTTTTTTTTTTTGTACCAGGGATTGAACTCAGGACCTTGTGCTTGCAAGGCAGACATGGTGCCACTGAGCTAAATTCCCGGCTGAATTGGAGCCCCCCCACCCCGGTACCAGGGATCCAACTCGGGTCCTTGCGCTTGCACAGCAGGCAGTGAAACCACTGAGCTAAATCCCCAGCCCTGGAGCCTCTTTTTAAGTCTAGCTATATTATTATGGTCTTGAGGTTATATATCTTTAGTTATACTTTTCTATTAGTTGTTTAAGACCAAGTTTCAGTGAGACCTATATTAAATAAAATTAATCTCTTGCTATCTATCAAGGTCAATTAGGTCTCCTCAGGCAATATCTTGGAACCATGCATAAAGCCTCTCAGCTCCTGTCAGTGTCAGCCATCAGGCTATGTTACGGCCTTGCTTGACCATGTTGCTTTCTGTGAAAGCATGGGAGATTTTGCCCTCGAGGTGGCATTCCTTTGGTACATTGCACTTGATGCTTTGGTGTCTTACATTCTCCCTGCTCAGGAAGTTGAGTGACTTACCAAAAATATAGGATTTTGTAGAAAAGGTTCCTGAATCTTTGTTGACCTTGGAGGGCCAGGGCTAAAATATTGGCTGTCTTCTTAGCCCAGGTACATTTCTAGTGCTGGTCTCTGGACTTTAGTGGTTGAACACCCAGAAAAGAAGATCAATAACATTAGCATTCCAATAGGAGTAATGGATTTAACTATTATAATTTCATCTGGATAGCAAGCATTTTGGAATCTAAAATATAGTTGGAGGACTATTATTTTATTTTATTTTTTGGTACCAGGGATTGAATTCGAGTCCTTGTGCTTGTGCAGCAGGTGGTGAAACCACTGAGCTAAATCCCCAGCCCTGAGGATTGTTATTTTTATGAAACATGGTTGTTCTAGTACTTGAATTTCTGTAAAATATTTAAAAATATTTCTGTTGGGCAGGGGATTTAGCTCAGTGGTTTCATCACTTGCCTTGCAAGTGCAAGGACCCGAGTTCAATCCCTGGTACCAAAAAAAAAAAATTCTGTAAAATATTTAAATGAGGAACCACACATAATACTTTAGTATGACAATCATGATGAGATTATCTTTGTAACACACTTAAATATGTATCTTAGTATAAAATAGCCATTGTTAAATGCACTGACTCCCCTCCAAAAACACATAAAAACCAGGAAACACTTACTTAAGTTATTATCTTTTGATAGGTTGCCATCTAAGGAAAATGTAAAGGCCTATAAATGTACCTGTTATCATAAGTAGCTGGAGCATAAGAGAAGGGTGAATACCTGGATCAAAAGGAGGTTATTACCATAAACAATATGTTAGAAGACCTGCACATGGGGTGGGGATTTAGCTCAGTGGTTCCGGCGCCTGCCTCAAAAGTGCAAGGTCCCAAGTTCAATCCCCAGTACCAAAAAGAAAAGGAAAAGAAGAAGAAGAAGAAGCCCCGCACAGTCAGAAGACATGAATACATTTTGTACACCAGAAAAGTAGCAATAATAATTATAACAATTATATGAAACCTTATGTCCTGGAATGTAGCTTGGTACCAAAACATCTTTTTGATAACACTTTGTTTTTCCCACTGAAAATTTTGTTTTGAAGATGACTAATATAAACATATCACAATAACATATTTAGAACTTAGCCCTTTGATGATGACCAATGCAAACATTTTATAATAACATATTTAAGCAATGTTTGCTGGGGGTGTGTCTTCCCATAAGGCTATGAAAATTACTGAGGCTCCCATTAGTCAACAAAGACCAGAATAACTGTTTTCTGGGCAGCTGCTTCTTTATTCATCAAGAGGAGTCCCATTTAGCCATCTCCCCAAACCAAAAAAATCTCAATTTAATTACCTTGACAATATTTAATAACCTGTAAAAACCAGATTGTAACAATTAACACATTATTTGTAACTAATAAAAAATATTTTTGAATTATTGAATGTAGACAGCAATATGCGTTATAATCAAAATTAATATTTGACATTTTGATCAGCTAGCAACCTGGGGGGAAAAAGGTATGCCTTTAACTTTAATAACATTTATCTATAGGTCAATTTAAATTATAGGCAAATATCTTTGAAGAAAAAAAGTTTTAAGGCATAAAAGGGAAAAATTGTTGAGCTCAAACAAAATACCTGTATGATTGGACAGAGAACAGACAAACAAACATATAAGACAATGAAACTAGAGTACACTCAAATATATTTGGCCAGTGAATTATAACAACCCTTTTATAATTTTTTGGCTGTAATTGTAACTAAGACTAGTCAAAACTTTTGTAAGTCAATGAACAGAGATCTCTTGTAATTAGAATCAGTAGGAATAAAAGCCCTTTATACCTGTAAGTGTAATCTTGTATAACAAGCTAGTAATAGAATGGTGGCATAATCTTGCATTATAGCTATTGTCAGAAGTCTGTAAGCACAAAGTAGAGAGAAGAGCAAGTTAATTCTATAATTACAATTCAAGAATTTCAATGTAGAAGAAATGTTTTAAATACACCAATTAAACATCTGGAAACCAAACACCAATTAAACATTACTTTAAGTTGGAAGTGAAAGGTACTTTTGTCAATTAACCAAAATTTATAATTTGATTTTTTGTTTGTTTGTTTGTTTGTTTTTAAGTTTCCTCTGCCTGGCAAGACATCACAGCTGATTTTAATATGGAGCAAGCAGACTGTACCAGGGACTGGGCAGTAGCCTAGTATTTGGTCTTTGAGCTCTGATCTTAAGCATTGCTTTTTTTTTTCTTGGTACCAGGGATTGAACTTGGGACCTTGCACTTGTGAGGCAGGCAGTGGAACTACTGAGCTAAATCCCCAGCTACATTTTGTTTTAATTGTTTTAAATTCTTATATTTTGTTTTCCAATATTTTTGTAGAAAACAATAGGGCCTGATGGAATTTCTTACTAGTATAGCCTGCCAAACAAGTTGTTGATATGTAAATAGCCAGGGCCAGGGGAGAATTTTATATTCCTTTGTTTTGCTGCTGCTTCCCTCTCTCAGGGGGAGATGAGGCAGCAAAAGCAGACAGAGCAGTGGATGTAGGCACCTTAAAAGTCTCCCCAGTGATAAGAGGGAACAGGAAATCTTTGCAAGGAATTAGGAAGCCATGCCATGTGGTGAGTTGGAATTTCTTTGTTCTTGCAAAACTGAAGTACGAGCCTGCAGTGCAGAAAAAGTTGTGGGTTTAACTTTTGGCCACACCAACAACGAAAGTGCTACAATATACTCCTCAAAGGTTCTGCCACCACCCTCCCCACTGAGCATCTCCCCACTAGAGCCACCACAGCAAGAGGCAGCAAACTTCCCAGGTGGAGCAGGAGGCTCAGTAGGAGCAAGCAGCTCCAGACTGGGCAAGGACCTCCCCACAGCCCCACAGTCCTGGGCAGGCCCTTGCTATCTAAGAACACTATTTTTTTGCCAGGTCTTTAGGAGTAGACTCTATGGAGTCTCAATCATCAAAGCACTCACGGATTAGAGTCCATAAGGAAAAGGTATATATAGGGATTTTTTTCTGGTCCCTTAGTTTGGGGATTGGGAAACGAAAGTCCTTCTCCCCCGCCCCCGCCAGGGATCAAGCTCAGGATCCTGCACTTGCCAGGCAGCCACAGCTCCTCTGAGCTACAGCCCTGGCCCCAAGCACACATTTCTTTTTTTCTCCTTAAATTCTTTTATTGGTACATTTTAGGTATACAATACGTTTACATTTATCATTGGGTGTTTGTACCTGTACATGATGTATCTTGGTTCTTCCCCCCCGCCCCCCATCACCTGTGCACCCTTCACCCCCTCCACCCTTCCCTATTTACATAGATTTTGTTTCCATTTTTTTTCATTTCTCATAATTTTTCTTTTCCCTTCTTTCCTTTCCCCTTCCCCTCCCACCACCCCTATACCTTTGAACCTTTTCCTATTTCATTTTAATCATTTTAGTCCTTATTTATACTGTCAGTTTCTCACACTAGAGAAACTATTCGATATTTACATATGTGTGTCCTATTTATTTCACTTAAGAGTATGGGCTCAATATGCATCCATTTAGCTATAAATGTCTCTAGTTTCTCATTCTTTATGGCTGAGTAGTACTCCATTTTATTAAAAA